AACTCGATACGCCTTTTTCCCGGTTCTAGGACTTCTTTGAAAGGCTTATGGAAAATTTGTAATAAATATAGCACACTTGAGAACACGCTCCGCCTACTGAGGGCAGGCTTCGGATGAGTTCACGTGTGCTGGGGACACCATAGATAATGCTCCTCAAAAACAATTCCTTCTGCTCAGTAAGACTTTTCGTAAAAGAGTTATGAGATTTTATTGAACACCGCCGCTTAGAGAACCCATCGCCCACCGTAGGTATCCTGAATGGAAACCGATTTCGTGGCGCATTCCAAAAAAGGTTGAGTACTCAGAGAATGTTTCACAATTCCGAAGAAATTAAAAGTATGGTCCCACCATAGGTCATAGATGAAGGTCTGTCAATTCCACCATTCAATAATCTATGGAACTCCATACACCAGCACTGATTTGGTACAGGGTGTTGACTGTTTTGCTACCCGTCCTGCACAAAACCATTTACAAACTGGATCTATACTTACCTGATCGATGTTGCCAAGGATTTTCGAGTAGATCGTGTCCAGTGCGATTGCCGCTGTGGGAACACCCACGCCCATCACAACGCATGTGATCGGAAGGAAGAGCCCTGGCCAAGTAGAATAGGCTGTATCACACCACGTGTACTCTTCTGGGTTGCAACCAGTTCCGAGAGTCTCTGAATTGATGCGATCTCTTGTTAAATGAACTTTTTCTAGGAAAGTATTTTATCCTCAGAATGTGGCCACTGTTCTGGTTGGGGGGGGGGAAGGGAAGCGAAGGAAGGCTTTTCCCCACTTCTATTATGGATTAGATGAAGGAAACTCTTCACCAAGGCGTAGGTGGGCATGTGGGAAATAGAGCCGCTAGCTCGTGCACCAATCGGTGTTTAGACCCTGGATAACCTCGCCAGATTGCATTCAAGTACCACTATGATTCTCTAGAAACAGAAAACGTGGCGCATCTCAAAAAAGTTGATCAACGCTAAGTTTATGCTTTGTATTCCTTAGCGCTTACACGCTATTGTTCCCACATAGGTATTTACTATAAACGTGAATAGTAAGTGTAAGGGACCAAACAAAGCGGAACTCACTGTTGTAAGGTTGCATTTTGTGGCTGGTCATCTCATATGGATATGTGAGTAAATACATGACCACCGAAATCATGACCGCTACTAAGAACGCAACCCTTGGCGAGATCCTAAAGTAAGAATAAAACGAAATGGAAACGAGAATTTTAACAATTTCCATACTAATTCTTAAGAGAAGATCACTCTAGTCCTAGCTGATTTCCTAGCTCATGATAGTTTTCAGATTTCCTCCCACATTCATCTCTTACATTTGTTTTGGGCCTACGCAAGTTCAGCAGCTACGGCAGTTGTGATCGCCAAACGTGGATTCTGCACAGTCAGGATAGCCACGTGCTGGCAGGGTTAACCGTCCATTCACTCTATTCCAACGGCGGTGGGGGGGAGGGGAGGGGAGAGGCTGGCGATTTGCGTATCAGAGGGGCGTCATATTTTTTGGATAAGGAAAGATTGGCTGTGTTTAGGGTAATATGCGAATGGATATCGGATTAATTGCGGGAGTGTTTGATGAGTGGGTGGCGATTTCGCGATTAGGTGCAAGACGATTTGGAGGGTATGCGCTATTGGGGCGTGTTGCCACCCCTCTGCGTCGACAGCCGCTTTTGAGTAAAAGAAAAGGAGCGCGAAGTTCGCGCAGTGTCGATTGGTTTTGGAACAAATATTACATGTAGGGATAACCATAATGGTGAGGGTGGTGGTCGGGGTAGGGGGAGGAGGGTCGTACTGGGGGAGCTTTTTAGGTGATGGTAGGTGTGGATTCGCACATCGGAACCCTTCTAAAGGGGATGGGGGAAAGTCGCAAAAAATTTTCAAAGGTGTGAACGCGACGGTTGACCTTGCGTGGCAGGGTTCCGCAACGCGCTTGTAATGATCTGGGAGCGCTGACAGATAAATGGCGAGATTTGATGCATTGAAGGCTTCAGGTACACCACAGCACCCAGGCAAGAGAGCGATATCGATACAAAGATTGACCACGCACGACTCGGGCTGCGTGCATCTGGATTTTCATGCTCTGATGGAAAGCAGTCCTCAAGGATACTTCAAGGATGCTCTAGTGAAGAAAAATGTTGCTACACATAAGAGCTGCTCTCAGACCGTCCAAGCCCCATTGACTGATCCTTGAGGTCCGCTCTCGTACGTCACGGAACGTCATATGCAGGCCGCTAGACGGATGAGCGTTCGATTGCACGCTTTTCAGAATTTTAGAACTTTACAGTGGCTCTTCGTTTAAGCTAACCAAAGTCGACTAGAATTTGCTCAATTTGTGCCTCAGATGATAGAACTAGATACCTGTTAGGGATAACATTGGAATTGCAGTTCACTCACAAGTTTCGGCAGAAAAGAACGCTGGCCAGCAGACAGAGGTAGGGCGAGATACACAAAACCCTAACAGCGCCAGAATTTTGACCGTTAACTGGCCATCCCATCCGAACGAGATCATCACCAGTGGTGACATGATTCTGAAACAATGCACTACGGTCATGTAGATCCCATTTTCACTAATTATGTGGACATGGTAAATCTCAAGTTACATGGAAGGATGTGAAACTCACGAGGTCAGCGTAACAGTGGAAATGTTGGAAACCACTCTTTCGACCCAACACAGCACAATTAACGCCCATGCTAAATCAGCGACAGCACAAGTCTTATGCGATTCTTGATACCTTCCAAGTGAACATTGCACCATCACCTAGAAAAAATCTAGTTGTTCGATACGACAGCTGTTACTTATTTGTAAAGCTATGCCCATGAATTTATTAAAGAGCAGTACGGGTTTGGATCAGTAAGCCATGTACCTTTGGAATGCAGCAGAAACATTGACCTATTGCTATTGGCAAGGAGGGTGTTTCAACAGGGACTACGTAATTAAGGCAATGTCAAGCATTGACCCTTATGGCGCATTCATAGTCGGTCGTCCGATCGTAACGAGCGTGTAGGCCGCGATCGCATAGGGCAGGCGACGCGATTATCCAATGCAAACTTAAGCAACACGTAACTGTGCGTTACGGTATTTTGAAAAATTAGTTGTTAAAATGCGCATTAATATATGCGTGTCGATCGTGCGACAAATGCGATCGTAACGATCGTTACTACCGGACGACCGACTTATACATGCGCCCTTATCCCTGTCTGCCATAGCTTTTCGCAGCAACACCATGACGGAGGTCTGGAAGGTCTTGCCGCGACAGGCTAGAGCTTAGCGAGTTATGACTAACACCAAAAAAATCCAAAGGGGCCTGAGCTATACACCTAGAACTTGGCCCGACGTGGACGCGCGACGTGTATCCGTTCTCATTTTTTTTCGCACTTACCGCTTTCTAGCAGATGCCAGATTCGCGATTACAGCGGTCTTTAACTAGCGTTTTCCGTGATTCGAGAAGTGGGAGTAAGGCTGAAGTCAACTTGCAAAAGAAAGGGTATCCTGAAACTCCGCTGAAACCGCTCGAAATCGCTAATGGAAGTTGCCAAAATCGCGAATTCTCAAATCCGCTCAAATTCCTTTCAGTCGTGGCTAGACTCTTGTACCGTCCCATACGAGCCACACGCGCCGTAAGGCGACACACACAACCAATACCGGTAGCGCTATCGGATTTTGCTGTTCTTCTGCTTTTTTGCTTTTCCGTTTTTCCTCAATTGTTTTTTTCAATAGAAACCAGCTACAGTAGCTTTAATCTCACCGAAAGCTTTGCAAATGGTGCCTATTGGGATCATTAGGGTTCAAAAATGCTCTTTCTAATCGACCCAATAGTTACAGCAAAAGGACGTTGGAGGAGTTCAAGCAACTGTAAACGCCAGCATAGAGCAACGGCATACTCACTGTCTCGCTTCCCAGATGATGGTACGTCACGCAGGCCAAACCATATGATAGCCACCGAAATGAAGTTTGTAGCAGATGCGATCCAGATCGGAGCCGAGTAGATGTGGAATTTCAGAACGTTCTCGATGATCTCGTATCCCGGATATGGCATATGTGTGAACGCCAGCTGACATACTGTAAACAAGAAAACAATTAGCTGTTGAAATAAAACCAAATCTGTTGTCACATTCTCATTGGTGCCTCCAATGGATGAAAATGTAGTTTGGGGGGCGGCACACTAATCGAAGTGGAGTTGCCGGAAGGATCCTTATATTTCCGTGGATTTGTCGAAAAATACTCATATCTTATCAAACGTCATCATATCCTTCGCTGCAGCAGTGGCCTACGACCAGCACGTCACACTTGCTACCCTTGTCCTACTTTATGCCGAAAATGACTACACCTTGCTGACGCTGCTCCATTTTCACCAAATCGCCGTGCAAGCGTTCGAAGAAAGGACCTTCCAGATTTCCGATTTTGCACGGGATCCTGGGTTGGATTCTCCATTTAACCGTACGCTCAGAGCCTGTGCTCTGAATGTTGACTAGATATGCACGCTCCTAACTCCCGTATTATATCTGGCACCCCCCCTCTGAACTACACTTTGCCCCCTGGGATGTTTTCCATAAAATCTTGTTTTTGCTTCAACGAATTATAATCACAAGAAAAGGTAATGGTATCCAATCAATGATAAAGGAGAGTGGATAGGAAAGAGTATTTTTTGATAACGGCGCCCTCTGGAAACTTTTTTTCTACAGGGTGCCACCGCTAATGGAAGTCGTTGAAAGCAAAACAATCCTGAATTTCTCTCCATAGCAGAAGCAAGAACTTTTCCAATGCCCTTCCTTCGAGGACGCACCATTAGCGGGGTTCTCTTCAACTAATGACGGCTCCTACTGGAGGATTACTCAAATGGAGGATATTCACGATAGAAGAGAAGTCAAAGAGAGGAAATTGACCCTAAGTGGAGGAGACAGGCAGCACTTAAAAAGTGCGGACCAATAACAGATGTCGCCAATGCGTTATGCCTCCGGTGAATCTAGCATAGGAATACCCCGAGGGGTATTGCGCACTATGAACGCGGTAGCCACTATCTGCCCCCCCTCGCTCTCTGAGAATCTAGCCGTTTAGGAGAGAGAGCGTTAGCGTTGAAGAGGGCACAACGATGAGAGTAGCATCAATGCGGAAATCAACGGACTAGAAAGCGACTCTTCTCCCTTTCTCGAGTTTCGGGCCGTTTCACATTTCTTCTTCGTCCCTGCTTCACTGACGACCCTTTTCCAATCAGCTAACTGTTCATACGTTTTTAACTCCCGGCTTCATTTTCTCCTACCATAGTTCCGTTCGGCTGGCGCATCATGCGTACTGAACTCGTTCAGCAGAGGACCGTTGCTTCTGAGGATATTAGCTGTTTACAAGGGAAAACTACACGGCGCAAAAAAAGGATTCCTTTCGCCGCTTCTTGAACGAGATTTCTCCACTTTTCGCGACTGCGTACCACTCGAGCAATCCGCTCTCCTCTAACCCTTCTTGAACCTATCGAACCGCGCTGCCTTTAAGGACGGAACCCACTGCTCACAAACACCCACCAGGTCCAATAACAACCGAGATATCATGTTCGCAACAGCGATCGCTGAATAGGCTCTGGCTCGATCTTCTGTAGTACTGACGGCAACCATATATGCTCGTAGAACCGTTGATGAACCTGAATAGAAATAGTGTGTACTATCGTGTCCTTTCAGTTTTCACTCGAAAAGAATTCGAAAACGACATCTGCTTAAAGGAATCTTCCACGGAAAAAGCTCCGCCCTCATTACCACAGAAAACGATACCTTAAAGGAATCTTCCACGGAAAGAGTGATCATTTTGTCTTGTGTGTAGGATTAGTATTATCGAAACTAACGCTTATGTTCCGTTCTTTTTGCTATGCTCATGAGGCTAGGGGCCTAAGGGGTATCGTTTTTCTGTGGTAATGGAGGCGGAGCTTTTTCCGCGGAAGATTCCTTTAAGCAACAGTCCCAGCAGGGTGGGCGTGGTCGGAAACGGCTGCAATCCCCTCGGCCGATTCCCACTTCGGAGCTGTTCAGCCCCTAGTCAAGAACGTAAGAAGTGTGACTGAACAAAAACTCACCTTGGAAAGCCGCTAGGGAGGGAGCTGAAGTGGGCGTGGTCGGAATCGGCCGAGGGGATTGCAGTCGTTTCCGACCACGCCCACCCTGCTGGGACTGTTGCTTTAAGGCGATTCACGATTAGAATGATCGATAACTAAAGCACTATTGTTGAAAACTCCTGCACTCACTGCTAGCGACTCCGAACAGGAAATAGCAGAAGAGCATGAGAAATCGTCGTCCATACGGGAGGACTTCAACACATAGGTACACACAGCAGGAAAAGAACGCGATTGCTCGACCCACTATCAAGGGCGCCCTTAAATCATGAATTCAAAGCGCTTTGGTGCGAGATGAGGAAGCTCCTAAAGGGGCAGGGTGCATACTGTATTCTGACGTTGATACGACTTCTGTAGAGAATAAACAATGGGAACAATGAGAAGAAAGTGGTAGACTCGAAAACTCACTTTATACTATGGGTTTTGTAGGCCCAAAAGGCGAAAACGATAGCAAAACCGGCGTGGCCCAGCTTGGAAACTGAAGACACTAGGCCAAAAAATTGCGACGTGGCGTCTGGATCTATCTGAACCGGAGTAAATTCAAATTGGAGATTGAGAAGCAATGCATACCAGGCTGATAAATGGTAAATGAATTGAAGGCAGCGATTACGATAGATTCAAGAAGGGTTTAGAGGAGACGTGGTGGTGCTCAGTGGTACGCCAGTGGCGAAAAAAGCGGAGAAATCCGTCAAGAAAACGCAAAACGGGACCCCTTTTTTGGCCGTTTTTTTCACTCATGAACAGGTAACAGCTCAGAAAGCGGACGTATGAACGAGTTCAGCGCAACGCGTTTGGTAACACCATGCCAAACCACACTCCAATCGAGTTGCTCCAGTTGTGCCGCTGCTGGCAACGCAGCTCGTCCAAATCACCAACTAACTAGTGGGCGGATCGCTTTTGGGGGCGGAGTGCTTTCGAAGTCCTGCTCAGCAACCAGCGCACCTTTCGTCGTGAAAGCGCCACACCTCGCTTCCTTGGCAGCCAAGTAACTGCTTCGTGTGGTGCATATGCTTCCCCGATGCGCTCCCTCTTTATCGTAATCGCTGCCTTTAAGTCCTGCAAGTGGCATGGAAGTATTGAGAACACCCAGGAAAGTCCCTTTGATATATGTCACGGCTGCACTATATTTCATATTTCGTATTCTTTTTGATGATCTTCATGCTATCAAGAGCCACGTGGGTCTCATCCGGTAAGAGGGGGCATAGCAGTGTACAGTATGCTCTGATGCCAATT